TCATTAGCCCCTCTAGTAATATATTTATTGAGAAAAATGGTGACGTGTTCAATGCTTATTTTACCCGCTGTATGTGCCAAAAAATGTGGAAGAAAAATGGATTTCAATAGTGATCTACAGCGTTCACATGTAACAAAAATAAAGTAAAAAAAACCCAGATCCTAATAGATTAAATCATTGTAAAAGTAACATTACAAAGCTACAATCCTGCCCAAAACAAGAGCCAGTAAATCAATTTTGTTAGTAAAATCTAGTTTATAAATAGAAGTGACAGTTTGGATCCATATGTTATTGTAGAGTTTTCAAACTAAWGCAAACATGTTGAAGGTTTGACTCTGAGTTTGAGTTGTTCTGGTGTTTGTTTCTCTGCAGCRGTCCAGCGGGGTCGAATCCCTCCGTGTCACTCAGGTATCAGTCCAAACTCCCTGTCCGGAGGACTCGGAGGTACGGGTCCGAGCCACCTCGGAGCAGATTTCTTCAACGGGCAGCCGGTGTCGGAGCTCATCTCCCAGCTCCTGCGGGCCGAACCGTACCCCAGCAGTCGCTACGGCACCCCCTACAGCCAGGCGCAGATGCAGGCGTCGGCGGGCGGAGCCTCCGTCATGGGCATCGACAGCATCTGTGAGCTGGCTGCCCGCCTCCTCTTCAGCACCATCGAGTGGGCCAGAAACATCCCTTATTTCCCAGAACTCCCCGTCTCAGAGCAGGTTAGACATTTCTTCTTAGATAAACAAATAAATAAGGATGGATAAAATATGTTTTAGCCCATAATTTGTGAACGAAAGGCTCCAGGTGACCCTGTCCTCTGCTCTGTTTCCAGGTGGCGCTGCTGAGGCTGAGCTGGAGCGAACTTTTCATCTTGAACGCAGCTCAGTCCGCTCTGCCTCTGCACATGGCTCCTCTGCTGGCAGCCGCCGGCTTCCACTCGTCTCCCATGTCAGCCGAGCGCGTCGTGTCCTTCATGGACCAGGTCAGGGTTTTCCAGGACCAGGTGGACAAGCTGAACCGGCTGCAGGTGGACTCGGCCGAGTACAGCTGCCTCAAAGCCATCGCACTTTTCTCCCCCGGTGAGTCAGAGTGAGGCGACAGAAAACATACTGCAGATTGTTTTTACCATCACCTCTGACTCAAGTTTTAATCTGTGACCAAAATAAAACAAGTCGTTTTAGTGAGGGAGCCTCACAGCTCCGGGGATCTGTTGACCTGACCTTTGACCTCAGGGAAAGCTGGAGGGAAACAATAGAGAATTTTAGTTAAAGCAAAATTCAGAAGAACTGAACAAAATTTAAAGAAACTCTGAGAAAGGTTAGCAGCCTGCCTTAGTTTAAAGACTGACATCAACAGAAAACTCCCTAATTTAAAAAAAGGTAGGTTATGTAGGTCCTCGGGACGTAACTCTTTTTTAAAAGACCTGGATTACTGAGATGCATCCAGATATACTGTAGTTTTAATCAAATTTAAACAGTCTAAAATTCACAAATAAGACAAATAAACCACTTCATGTTTATAAGTGTGAATTACACACTTTGTTCAACTGTACGGTTGCAGGCAGAGCTGCTGATAAATAGGTTAGGGTCCTGTCACAATATAAGGTTTTAAACAACTTATACCAATTTATGAAAATTTTAGAGGCCTTTACGTTAAAGATGGTATAAAAAAATCAACTGGAAGCCTCTTTTAGGTGTGTACATACTGTAATGCTAACAAATTGACCAAATATATAACTTTTATTAGGAATTTAGTCAAATTTCTTTTCGTAAGTTGGCACAAGTTGTCTAAAATCTTAC